ATTTCCATGAAAGCCTATGAAGTTGATCCAAAAAGGGTGTCGGGGTTTTGTGCAGTATACTAAGTGGTTTGAATGGAAGGTTGAGTTGGTGACATACCAGTTGTTAAGGGATCCCTGACGTCTTTCAAAATGAATTGCCTGGCCACTTAGTCAGTAGAGAATTAAAAGTTTACTGTGGACATCATGTCGGGAAGCAAACCTATCTCAAAACACCCTATAGGATGGCCCCACTAACTTAGGGAACTAAAACTGCGATTACAAGGAATTGTTCGGATAAGGGTTCATTAGGCGAGCATTCACCATGGGGAAGCACCCGTTCTAATTTGTTAAGAAAAAGATGGCAACACTTCGCCTTTAGATTGATTACAGAGAACTTAATAGGTAACCATTAAGAACAAGTACCCATTGCCTAGGATTGATTGATTTTGCTTGATCAACTACAAGAGCACGAGTCTTTTCCACAGATTGACCTTAGGTCGGCTACCATCAACTGAAAGTTAAAGCCGAGGACATTGAGAAGACTGCTTTCGGACAAGGTATGGACACCAAAAGTATTTTGAGTCATTGGCATTATGCGGCTAGTTCTGAGCGAGTGACACATGAATCGTCTGCACTGAATCATCTGAACTTGCCCTGCAAATCTTGAGAGACAAGAATTGTATGCCAAGTTGAGCAAGTGGAGTTTTGGCTTTTCAGCATTTTCATTTTTAGGGCATGTGATTAATGAAAGGGTTATCAGTTGATCGAGTAAGATTGAAGCCATTGTGAATTGGCCAACGCGACCAACGTGTCCGAGGTTCGTAGTTTTCTGGGCTGGCAGGTTATTACAGAAAGTTTGTGAAGGACTTCCTAAGGATTGCAGTACGATTGACACAACTAACTAAGAAGGGAACAACATATGAATGGACCGATGATAGAGAATCAGCTTCCAAGAGTTGAAGAACGAGGTTAGTTACCGGCACCAGTTCTTGTCTCCCATCGGGTAATGAGAATTTCAGATTTTCAGTGATGCTTCATATAAGGGTTTGGTTGGTATTATGAAGGGGCAAAGTCATAGCATATGCATCTCGTCAGTTAAACTTACGAAAAGAATATCCAACCCATGATTCTGGAGCTTGCAGCCGTGGTGTTTGCTTTTGAAGATTTGGTGTCACTACTTATATGGAGCCTCTTGCCAAGTTTTTACAGATCACAAGAGCTTGAAGTACTTGTCACTCAAAGGAACTGAATTGAGGTAGAGAAGATGGCTTGAATTTTGAAGGATTACGACATGCAGATTCGTATCACCCAGGTAAAGCAAACTCGGTAGCCGATGCATTGAGTAGAAAGTCAGTGGGAAGTTCGGCTTGCCTAGCCATGATTTCATGGAGCGACTACTATTGGGGAAGTAAAGGCAAGGCAGATGGAGGATGAATTCCTGAAGAAAGTGGCGGACGAGATTATCACCAGGCCGAGGTCAGGTTACACCCTGAGAATGGAGTGCTTAAGTTTGAAGGAAGATTGTGCGTTGGCCGACGTCCCAGGTTGAAAGGAAAGATTTTGCAAGACTCTCATGGATCCAGATTTGCAGTTCATCCAGGGAACACCAAAATGTATCAAGATGTAAAAAGACCTTTTGGTGGCCGAATATGAAAGAGAGATAGCCGAGTTCGTGTCCATGTTTGTATTGTCAACAAGTGAAAGAGAACATCAGAGGCCAGCAGGGCTTCTCAACCTTTGCCGATTCCTGAGTGGAAATGGGAAACACATCTCATGGATTTTGTGATTGGTTTGCCCGAAAGACACAGAAAGGAATGGATTCGATCTGGGTTATATCAAAGATTAACTAAGTCAGCACACTTTCTTGCCTGTTAAGACTTCATTTAATTGTGATCGACTTGGTTGTGTTTGTTATATTCAATGAGATGTGTTAGACTTTCATGGTGTGCTGATTGCTCCTTGTGCCATGACCGAGATTCCAAAGTTTCGTTTCTAAATTTTGCAGAGATTTACCAAGGCTTTGGGGACCGAATTGAGGTTTTAGCTACGACCTTTTCATCCCATACCGATGGCCAAACAGAGAGGGAACAATTCAAACACTTGAAGATATGCTGTAGACTTTGTATATTGGACTTCCAAGGAAGCTGGGAAGGTGCCATTTTCCATTAGTAGAATTCGCTTACAACAACAGTATCAAGCTAGGGCATTGGCATGGCGCCGTACGCGAGCCTTATATGGAAGAAAGTGCAGATCGCCGATATGTTTGGACCGAAGTTGTTAGTAAAGCTTTGATCGGCCCCGATCTAGTTCAAAGGACAACACGAAAAGATCAAGCTTATCCAAAGAGAATCAGAACGCTCAGGGTCGACAAAGAGGTTACGCTGATCCAGAGGAAAGAGTTAGAGTTTGAAGTTGGGATCATGTATTCCTGAAGACCTCGCCGATGAAAGGATTTCAAGATTCGGGAAGAAGGGTAAATTGGCACCCCGTACATTGGGACCGTTCGAAATTCTTGAGAAAGTTAAACCCAATTGCCTACAGACTTGCTTTGCCGCCGAGATTAAGTCAAGTTCATAATATGTTTTCATATCTCGATGTTGAGGAAGTATATTCGGGATTCCACTGCACACGTGATTGATCATTTTGGAATTGTGGTTGATGAAGATTTAAGCTATGAAGAAAAGTCGATGCGTTGTTATCGATAGACAAGTGAGGCAAAATGAGAAACAAGGCAATACCGATGGCGAAAATTGAATGGAAAGAGGCATTACGGCAGGGATGCTACATGGGAAATGGAAGAAGAAATGAAAGTCCGAATCCGGAGTTATTATTGAATCGAGGTAACTCAGTTTGGGGACCAAACTTCTTTAAGGAGGGTAGGATGTAATAACCCTCACCATGTCCTAACCATGGTCATATGCATTCATATGATTTGTCTTGTTAAGCTTGCATTTTCCAGTCTTGTCCTTGTTCGCTTTAAGTATTACAGCATGCTTTTGTACCTTGCCCGTGTGGGTTTTAGCCGAGGTCACTCTTAGCCTAGGTCAGCTTTTGGAGCCTCTTACATCTAAGACCACCTGGAATTTACCTTTGGTCGACTCACCTTTGCTCTGACATGTTGGCCGAGAATGTCAGCACTAGCGAGGTGTTCGTCGCCGAGGCCGAGATGTTTTATCTTAGGCCGAGGATGTCCACACTTTGAACCTAATACCTACTCCTGGATTGGTACGACCTAGACCGAGCTGTGGCAACATCTAGGCCAAGGTGTGGCACAGCTTAGGCCCATGTGTTGTCCTTTCTAGCCGATGTCCTTGCCCTTTGCTTGCCGAAGTCTCTTGTTGTTAGCCGATGTCGTTACTTGTCGGAGTGCTCTTGCCGCCTAGCTTGTGAGTACACTTTGTCATAGTCTTGTCTTTTCACTCAGTCACCTTTTTAGTAGAACCAACCAGCATCTTCTCTCTATTATTAAGCATACATTGGCATTTCAATTCATCGGACTACGTTAAGTTTTGGAAATTTGCATTGAGAAAAGAATGTTGGGAAATGGGTTTTCATGAAATGGTTTTGGGGTAAATACGGTGGTAAGTCTTGATAGGTGGTGTAGGTGAAATTGTTTAAGTTGGTCTGAGTGCCCTTGGTGAAAGACCAGAAAGTCGCTCGGATAGGTGTCGAGCCTTCCAGTTAATACCGATAAAAACGACAATTGGTAGTACTCGTATAGTCTACTTGCAGACACTGACCTAGGAATTACCAGAGTTGTATTTACTGCCCCATTTAATTAAATTGATAAATTTTGAACAGTTGAAGTTGCATAACATCATTGAGCATGATGGTTTTCAAAAGATAAAGATGTGTTTTATTTTCAAAAAGGCATGGCATGGCATGTGCATTCATCTCTTGAGACTTGTATAAAATGTATGTACTTTGTTAAGGATTTCCTACTGGGCTTTATACTCACCCTACTGAATTTTTGTGTAGGAAAAGACGTGGTGAATCTGCCTAATTAAGAGCGTGGAAATGTGTGTGTTGAGAGCACTAAAGTTCTCATTTGCTGTGATCCTATTTGTTAGCCAAGGGCTATGTATGTGTGGGTTTGAATAACCATTTTGTGTACTGGGCTTAAGCCTTGGAAGATTGTAAACCCTTGGGGGTGCTTATTTGGTTATTTACTTGTTGTTGAATCAATGTAATATCACATGAGGAACCATTATTATTAATACGTAATGCAAGTATGGGAGGTTATATTTGATTTTCCTTTAAGAGAGCCAGAATTGTTGCATTATCATTTGGGCTAGAAATTTGGGGTGTTACACAACTTATATTACATGCTGTAGATTTAGAATGAACGTTTATGAATGTATAATGCATGTAATACCATTTTGTAATATAAACTCCGATTGATGAAAGTATATCATTTTCATTAAATCAATGGATCTTATGAATGAATTATTTATATTGTATTTCGAGGGCGTGACAAATATTAGGTCTCAATACTCTCGGTATTTCTTTAGCTCGCATTCACTTTGCACCTTATGGCCTCAACCCACCCCACACGCACCCTTGTGCAACTGAGGTCATCGTGGTCTTGGAAGGTACTCTCTATGTCGGTTTCGTGACCTCCAACACTGACAACCATCTCTTCACAAAGGTCTTGTACCTAGGAGATGTTTTTGTATTCCCACAGGGTCTTATTCAGTTTCAATTTAATAATGGAAAGACTAATGTAGTAGCTCTTGCTGCCCTAAGTAGCCAAAATTCGGGAACTATTACTGTTGCTAATGCAATGTTCTGGTCAAATCCAAGGATTTCTGATGATGCTCTTGCCGAGGCATTCCAAGTGGACAAGAAGGTGGTAGACTATCTTCAAGCTCAATCTTGGTGGCCCAACAACTAGAGAAAGAAAGTTTGGAGAACCTATGAATCTATTATTTGTTAAACTTTAAATAAATATGATGCAATATAGCATAAATAAGTGGATTGTTATTTTCCTATGATTTTATAATAATCAAGTTTGTTAAATAGTATTCTCTCTCTCTCTCTCTCTTCTCTTATAAAATGATGACACTCTCTTGATCCTTTTCTAGGCTCCTTATTGATATGACGATAACACTCTTGATCTTTCTCTAGGCTCCCATTTCAAACTTTTGGTTATGGTAATCTTCCAATTATTTTTGGCCTAGCATTGCCCTGACTCAACTGAACCCTAAAACATATGGGTTGGGGTTGGGCTTCGAGTGAAGGATAGGAATTATGGGCCTCATGGGTGTTTTGAGGCTTGACCTGAAACTCGACCCATAGGACCATCCCAAAAGCCCACATTGGACCCATATACACTAAACAATTGGTTTAATTTTTCACTTTTATCCTTTCTTTTTTCCTTCTTACGTGAATATATCATTTTTAGTAAATAATAATTTTAACAATAAAAAAATTAGCATGCCATCCATATGAAATTAGTAATTAAATTTCTATGAGATTAAAGATGCATATAATTCAATAACATAATCATAACAGATGTAATTTTGTATTTCAATAAATAATTTTTTTTTAAAAAAAAGTAAAAGAATTCATGATTGAAAAAGTGACTATAGTTGTTCTGATGTACTTCAAAATTTTGTATTACAAATCTTTATTTTTTAATAACTTTGGAATTTAATAAAAAAAACATATGAATTAAAGTTGAAAGCTATGTCAAATTAGGCCCATATGAGCTAAGCCTGCCTTGAGACCCATAGGCCCATTTTTTTAAGCACATGAATAGGTTATAGGTTTTAAAAATATAAGATGGGCGGGCCTGAACCCAGCCTATTATTGACCAGTTAAAGTTTATGGATGTGGGCTGTGTTAAAACATTCAACTTAAAACCATTGATTATAAGTGGAGAGACTCTTATCACGCTAATGTTGTATTGTTAGTTATTTTCATGAATATTTCAAAGACTAAATAAACAAAATTGATAATGTAAATATGAAATAAATAAGATTGTGATAAAATTATAATCAACTCAAAAAAATAAACGAAAAGTATTTGTTACTTAATATTTAGAATACAAAATTTATGACAACAAAATAAAAATATTACTTTGTTTTGTTTAATCTTATTAAAAATAGTCAACATAACTATATTTAATTGATGAAAAATCAAATCCTATGGGGTCATATGTTATTTAATTTGAGGTTTAATCTTTTTTGGTGATAAGGACATGTGTTGAAAAATTGTCGGTGCTAAAAAAGTCTCTGAAAAATTGATAGGAAAAAGTAGCTAGTGGTTGGTGGCAATAAAGTAGACTAATAGATGACATTGGGTAGATGGGTGAATAGATATGTGATAAGTGTACAAATATGTGAACATTTGAACATATAGGAGGTTATAGCGATCCTGGTTTTCCCCATCATTTATTTTGTTCTGGACTTGGGTTCCGTCGTGGTTGTTGTTGTCTATATCTCGTTTTCGTCCTTTAAATCCTTTGTATTTGAGTTTTAGGATGTGTAGGGTGAATTTGGAACAGGTTGGTTGGGTGTTGGAACAAATGGTTACTGTCCAGAATTTGGCGTCTTTGCTCGAGCGAGGCTTTTTGGGCTCGAGTGAGCCTTGGGTTTTGGTTTCTTCGCTCGAGCGAGGATTCTTGCGCTCGAGCAAGCTTTGTGTGGTGTGTCCCTTCGCTCGAGTGAGCACTCTTGCACTCGAGCATGCATCTACGTCTTTGTAAAACCTGAAGGTTTGTAATCTTCGCTCGAGCGACGCTTCTTGTGCTCGAGCTCACTCGCTCTATGTTTTGTGTTCCTTTACTCGAGCGAGAACTCTTGCGCTCGAGCGTGCGTCTAGGTTGCAGACCTGAAGCTTTAAATTGTGCGCTCGAGTGAGATTCTTTTGTGTCTGGTCGCTCGAGCGACCACTCCTTTGCTCAAGCGAGCCTCGAATATATCAGATCGCAGCAGCGTGATTTTAGTCACTTTTTCATCCCCCTTTTCACTCCAAACCCTAGATCTGACTCTCTCTCTCTCTCTCTCTCTCTCTCTACACACTGCTTCTCTCTACAAATACTCCATGTTCTAGAGGTCCTCTACCCTAGTTCCTTTGTAAGAAAGCTAGAGTATTGTGTGGGCTTCAGTTTGATCCGAAAAAGTTGGACTTTGGAGCATCTTAGGTTTTTCCTCTTCATCTCCTTTGAGTCTCTCCAGTTGAGGTAGGGATTATCTACTCCTTTCTATGAGTTTTAACATAAATGTTGGGTATTTGTATAAATGTAGGAATCTTGGATGTTTTGGAAAGTTAGGGTTTGATTTGAAATTATAAAAGAGGGGTTTCTTGGTTTTGGACTCTATTGTGAATGTGAGGTTTTGAATTGGGAACTATGAGTGTACAATTGATGAAATTGAGCCTTAGAAGTGTTATTTGAGAAAGAGGGAAAAATGCCCTAATTGGGATTAAATGAATTATTTGTCAAAATAATGAAATTAATTATGGGAATACATAATTGAGTTGGAAATGATGAAATTGGGGGGAAATGTAATTGATTGGTATAGTTGGATTGAAAATCGCTTACCTATGGAAAATGTATTAATTTATCTGTTTGATAAATTTTATTATCTGTTTAGAAATAACTGTTTTGGGCTATCGGTGGAGGATAGCCATGATTGTTGTAAAATTGCCTGATGATTAGGTAAATTGAAACTAATCAATTGAATTATGTCAGTGAATATGACGGTTGGATTAACACATTGAATATGTGCTTTAATTGATCATTGTATATGATAAAGTGTTCAAATGCATTGCATATGTATTTAATTTGGAAGGAGAAAGGGGATGTACTCCATGGTTTGGGAGGAGATAGGGGACGTACTCCACGGTTTGGGAGGAGATAGGGGATGGACTCCATTGATAACTAAGTTGGCCGGAGTGTCCATGGTGAAAGTCCCAAAATCTTAAATACATCTGAATGATGTTGATGATTGAAGTGTTGATAATATGAGTTGTAGTCTCATTTTAAATTGTTTATGATTGAAGTGTTGTTAATATGAGTTGTAGCCTCATTGTGATTTGTTGAGATAAACAATGATCCATGTTAATGAACTGATTTGGATAAACAAATGGAAATGGATTGGAATATGGTTGTAAATGTTGGTTGGTTATGGAAAGGATGTACGTTGGCCTATATGTGTTAAACATTTATCGAATGTTAATGTTTTAGTTATTTCTCATAGTTGGTTTAGCATGTCTCTACTGGGCTTTGGCTCACCCTTCTTGGGACATCATTTTCAGGTACATGTGACTTGCTGCCTCCAAGGTTATAGCTTGCGAGGTCTCGCGGTTGAAGTCTCTCTTTTGTTGCATTATTTATGTTTACATGTTTTTATTTCCAAGCCAAGGGCTTTGTATGTAAAGGGCGTCTGACCCTCTTTTGGTTGTATCCAAGTGTTGACTTGGAAAGTTGTAAGCCTGTAGAGCATCTACTTTTGTTGTCAACATGTAACATCTTTTGTAAACAGGACTCTGGTGAATGAAAACATAATGTTTCCTTTATGATTCTAGGACTTGTGAATGATTGATTATGTATTATTTTGAGGGCGTTACAGGTGACACATGTATAAATATGTGACGCTTTGAACAGATACACAGATAGCTAAGATTTGAACAGACATGTGTCATTGTGGTAAAATAATGTCCTTTTAGCCCAAGAAGATTTAGTTTGGGCCTATTGGTCTGAAAGTTTCAAGAATGGACCTTTGGCCCAAGAGCATCAGCAACAGGCTTTTTAAAAAAGGCATGTTGACTATTATGGCTACCACCGTCCTATTTTACCTCTTCCAATGGACTTGTTACTACATTAATCACTTTAACAAAAAAAAAAAATCAAGCTAATAGCCACATATAGAGAGCTTTGGGAGGCTCTTTCAACAGTTTGTGTGAATAAATATGTAAATAAAAATATAGCATTGTAGTTTCTTTACATGCCAATGTAACTATAACAAATTTATAAAATTTATTGCATTTTTTTTAAAAACAAAAACTCAAAAATTATAGGATAAATTATAAATATACCCTTTGACATTTACTTAGAAGATGGATTGTTCCCTGTGTGATTCTAAAAATTACATCTTGTCACTTTAAGTTTCTAATTGCATAATAATTGACCTATTTTATTAATAAATCGTGAACTCAATTAGCAATTTTTAATGATATCATAAATGTATTTTAATCAATTCAAGTAATTTTATTATTGTATAGGAGAGTAGTTAATAATTTTATTTTTTATGACAATTATGTTACATAAAAAATTCTGACAATTATGGGTTATTTATAATTTTCAAAACTTTAAGAACAATTCTGTATTTTAATCAAATCTCAAAAAGTATATTTATAATTTATCCAAAATTATAATTATAATTTGCCTAAGAAAAAATGCTAACTCAAAAATTATAAGGTAAATTTTAAATAAGCTAACCATAGAAGAGAAGACTGGTTTTAAATACATTATTATTATAAGCTTTGTATTGGAAAATATTAGATGATTTCTTAATGATTCTTTTTATCATATGTTGATTAACAGTTCTAAAATTTTTATTATTGTACGGAAAGATAATTAGAAATTTTATTTTTTCTGTCAACTCTATTAAATGACGAATTCTGATAAAAGAGTATTTGTAATTTTTAGAATGACAAGAAATAATCAGTATTTTAAATCAAACTGAGAATGTATCCATATAATCCTTCAAGTCATGAAAATAATCTCTAACATATACTCATTTATATATTTGCCTTTTTGATATAACTCAAAATGATAATTATAATTTGCCTAATCAAAGATGTTGAATAACCATTCATCATGGAATTAGACATGGCAACCGTAGAAGAGAAGACTCGGTAACAAGACATTATTATAAGCTCTGTATT